ATCAGATCTGTACCGTTAGTTCGATTTTAAAAGATAAGGTATCAAATTAAAAGCCTTGGCCTATAGATGTGCAATAGCTTCTTATTTTTTTCAAAAAGAGTTGCCACCTGATATCGAATTAAATTCAAATTATTTTTAAGTTAACTCAATGAATATCGATCGAAATGGTTTTGAAAAGGCTTTATCTCTTAAATACGCATGTATATCCTGATATAGATGTTAGATNAATACTAAGTATTTTTAAAACGAGCTTTCTAAATATAAACGAAATTGGACCATAAATATATCTAAGCTTCCAAGGAAGACGGTCAACTGATCAATTCATATTCCCGCATACGCGAGTCAGATATGCAAACAACTGATATTCCCAGGTTTGCAATTTTGTACGATATGAATTTCGTAGGAAATCGGCCGTGTTAAAATTCATGAAAGAATTCAGTCACTTTTGCTATTACAGATTCATTTCCTAGCTATTACTTTTTACTACTGGGATGCGAAAGGTATATCATCAGATCTGTACCGTTAGTTCGATTTTAAAAGATAAGGTATCAAATTAAAAGCCTTGGCCTATAGATGTGCAATAGCTTCTTATTTTTTTCAAAAAGAGTTGCCACCTGATATCGAATTAAATTCAAATTATTTTTAAGTTAACTCAATGAATATCGATCGAAATGGTTTTGAAAAGGCTTTATCTCTTAAATACGCATGTATATCCTGATATAGATGTTAGATGAAAGAGGTTGTGGTTTGAAAATATTTTGAATAGGGTTGCCACCTGTTTCAAAATTAGAATTTAAATAAAGTATGCATGAGTTAAGTGAAATATAAAAATATTACGTGAAACGAAGGTGGTAAGATATCCTTAGTTTAAATATTTAGATCATCAAAGAGGGTTGCCACCTGGTAAAAATGTAAACTCAAATTATTTAAAAACTTAAAGCAAATGTTAAAAATATGGGTACCAAATGAAATGGGTTTGAAAAGGCTTTATTTCTGAACTGTATTTAGGAGGGTTGCCACGTATTGAAAAAATCAAATTTAACTTAATTCATCGGGCACATGAAGCCCGATATCAGACGCTAGAGATTTGTTTATTTCTTAACTATAGGTGCGTTCGTTTAAAATCTCCAGCAGAAACCAACCAACTG